AGGTAATGAATGTCTTTGTCTGATTAGATGATGTTAGTAAGTTTGTTGTTATTAATGGTAGCAAAAATGAATCACTGTTGACGCGTGTTTTTTCTAATTCTTATTTTATCCAGTGGAAGTTTGCTTCGTTTTCAATGGGACGTCCCGACTACTTGCAGGATACAGATGTTGTTTATAACCGCTTTCAGGTAAATCAACTTTTGCTAAAATCCTAAACTAATTCGCAAAAAGAAGTTCGAGATTTTAACCCTCTTTGATTTCTGGGAAACTAAAATGGAAACAGAGAAGGGATGTATATGGTGCGTGGGAGCAGTATCTTGGGTTGGAGCACATTGATAATGCTCCTAAGAGGGCTTATGCTGCAAATCAGGTAGGAAGTTACATCACTCTCTCTCTCTCTCTCTCTCTCTCTCTCTCTCTCTTAGGAGCTCTCTCTTCTCTCTCTCTCTCTCTCTGTGTTAATATATATGTTTGAATGCTCTTGTTGTAGAACCGTCACGCATATGAGAAGCCGGTGAAAATATACAACTAGGAGCGAGGGCGAGACGTGTGGGGCTATCCAAGGAGGAATCTAAAGGGTGGTTTTGGTGTGAGGGTAGGATGTAGTAGAGAGTCTCAAATTTAGATTTGATGATAACCAAAAATGAAATATATCTTTTCCAGGAAAAAAGGGTATTGATTTTGGCCCTGACGGTAGTAAGTGTGGTCTCTTTTTGCTTCCAAACTACTCTTTTGGTGTTAATATGGTATTGTCGAGACTCGAGACTCTCCCTTTCTCTCCGCAACAAAATTCTTATTTTGAAGACAGCCCCGTTCTTTGGATTTGTTGGGAGGGCGTTGGCTTTTTTTGCTTTTAGGATTGTATTTTTCAGGTATAGTTTTTATCTTCCAAAAATATTTTTAATATATTCTACTCTTTTCTTATTGATCATTGCTATTATTACTTCCTTTCTTGCGTAATGGAATTGTTGTTCCAAGCCTTAATTTGAGTAAGAATACAATGAAAATTACATATCAGATTTTCTTAACGCCATCTTTTGGATACCATCTTCTACCATAAATGCCACATATAAAAGTTCTTAGTCTAGTTTGGATGTCGATAAAGCCGCCAAAGTGTGTTATAGCTCTGATCGATAGTGAGAAGAAAAACAGAATATCAAGTAGATGATAAGAAACGTCAAACTGCGATTCAGAAAAATAAAAAAAATGGTGCCATGGTTAAGGGATATCCCTTACCAAACATCTATAAACTCGATGACTCTCAGATCAATAAAAGCGCCTGTAGCTCAGTGGATAGAGCGTCTGTTTCCTAAGCAGAAGGCCGTAGGTTCGACCCCTACCTGGCGCGTCCTTCGCAACGTTAAACAAATTCTTATCTGTGGCTTGTAACTCATTATTTTTGGCTTCGACGAAATACGAACACAAATTCTTAATACTTTTTGACCCTCATCCCAATATACAAATATTTTCTTCTTTCACAACGCGTGACTATATTTCCTTTTACACATTATGCAATGAAAAAACAAAACATATATATAAAGCTCATAAACATGTTGCTCAAGAGTCAATGACTCAATTACGATGAAAAAATGAGCTTCTACGTATCTGTGAAAGATGAGCAAGGACAAACGAAAAAAACTCCTTTCTTTTCAGCAAAAAAGTACTTTTTGATCATTAAATTTTCGACTAACAACTGCAACAGAAGACCAATATTGTTTTTTCAATGTAGTTTTTACTGTGTCATGTTCATACAAGATCATCTATAATAAAAAGTAAATAGGAACAATTTTTCATCCATATGTAAAATATTATAATATAGATATCTAAAAAATGGTTCATAAAGCAAACTAGGCAAAATCAAATCTTGCTACATGTATTTTTTTTTTTTTTAACATTAGAGCGATCGATAAAGTGATTCATAACAAATTCCAATTCACTACATGTCGATGGGAACTTCTTTTACGGCCATTATTTCAGTTTCTTTTTTTTGGACAGATCAATGTATTCACCAGTAGGAGTGTCTTTTCCTATTTTCCATATCCTTTGAGTCGTTCGAATATTCACCGAAAATAATTTTGATACCTCTTTTGTGGCATTTTTATTCAATCTTCCATATACACACCTTTTCTCTAAAGCATTGTAAATCATCTGTCTTTGATGCTCACTCAAATTCCTTTTCCTTGTACGCTTGGCCTTCATGGGTTCGTCCGGTGCTGATCAAAAACAGTAGAACACAAATACACAATTTTAAAAATGTTTGTCTACTGAAACAATCCATATACACCAAGCAATATTAACGTGTTCACGTTCCTGAGAGAGTTCCATGCAACGATCTCAGTTTATTCTGTAAAGTATATACAATATTCCTCTATGCTTAAGTTTAAGGTATTCATTTTTGAAATACATAATTCGAAACATTAGGTTTCACTAGATTTAATATGAATAAACGTATAACTAAACAAAATAGAAGATTAAAAAATCCGCATGACAAATTTCACCACATCTTAATCACATTTATAATTTGTTAGATAAAACAGAAAAGAAGAAGATAACGATTTGGTTTACCTGGTTCTTCAATTAAGTGATCCTCATTTTTTCCATTTAGTTGATCGTCATTTTGTTCTGATACCTGAGTATTCGGATCTTCTGTCAGGTTAAAGTTCAAATCGATTAAAATGGCAGTTCCCGGAGAGGAAGTAATAGTTGTTTGTCCACTTTCGGTGTTTGTTTCTCCAGTTGCATGAACAGATTCAACTTCATATCCACTTTGAGAGTCATGATCATCATTACTCATTGGAATGATATTTAAATCAAACGAATGATTTTTCTTGTTTGAAGGTGAACATTTTAAATCATCATTAGCCATGGATGATCTACTCTCGAGAATCCCTTGTTGTAAAAATTTATACATGTGAAAATTTAATTCTCTTCTATTTTTTTTTTTTTTTTGCAGTCAACACTTCAAAAAAAATAATATTAAATACGTTCAAAGTTGTTAATCATGCAAAAGGAATAATACTAATTAAGAGGCTACAAAATATATGGATGGACGAATATAAGATCAATTGAAAATGAAAAATTAATTAGAACTAGAATTGAAATAATTTAGATTAGTAAGAGTATAATATAGAAATTTGAAAAATTCTTAATTTGTGTTAAAATTCTTGGACGACAGTTAATCTAATAGTCAATGATCGAAATGACTACCATATCATTTAACTAATATATTTATGATTATTTTTTTGTCTTTTTTTGTTTTTTTTGGGACAACTTTTTTTTATCAAAAATATCACTTTCTTACTTATTTATATTTCAAATCAATTGGAATTAGTTACTAGATTAGTAACTGGAAAACTAAAGTGAAAACAAATATGATGAAAATGAATAATTTCATACAAAATTGAGAATATCAGAAATAGGACCCTGTATTGCAAGGTTAATTTGTCGTGTAATAAAAATAGAATATTTTAAACAAATATGTAAATATATTTATGAATGAAGTTAGAACGAAGACACGATGAAAAATATATTATCTTAAATTCATCCCAAATTTAATCTAAAAAAAATTGTATTTTCGTGTATTAAAGTTGCATCCCAAGTTGAAATAATTATAAATAAAATGCTTAATAAAAAAGGGTAAAAATATGTAAATATTTTAAACAAGCTTTCAAATGGAGAAAAAGTCTTGTTTATATGATTAATAAATTTCTCAGATTAAGTTTGGAAAGAAGACACAATGAAGTAAAAATCAACTTTATTTATTTTAGTCTAATAAATTTATTTGCTAAAGATGTATATAAAAAATGAAAAATGATCAGAATTTTTTTATAAAGTTAAAAAAATATAAAAATTAAAAAACGCAACTTTTCGTTAAATTAGCGGTTATAATAAAATGTATATATATAATAAATATTAAAATACATGAACTTTAATAACAGTTATGAAAAAATATAATGAAAGAACGCAATCATATTTAATATTTATTAAATTTTAAAAGATAATTTTTCATAAAAATTAGTAATTATAAATGAAACCATAACACAAATACTAATAACGTCTATGAAACAACTTATTTGAGGGTTGTGAGATGTTCCATAATTAACATCAGATTTGATAGTGATTCTTAATTAATATTATTAGATAACGATTATATGTTAGATTTTTATTATTTATTATTTTTTTATTTATAACAAAACATCTAAATAATGTATTTTTATGATAGATAATTATAATAAGAAAGTAAAAATCAATATCAAATAATATTATTATGTAGTTTTGAACAATATAAATAATCTTGAAAAAACACAAATTATACTTTAGCCACAATTCTGTACAGCTGTTTTTTTTGTTTGAATAAATTTTACATTCATTCAAAAAAAATGCAACGTTTAATATATAAAATAATAATTATAATGAAAAAATACAACAATAAATTTTGAAAAAGTATAGTTTATGAAAGTGCAAGTTGCATTTATTCAAATTACTAAACAGTTAAAAAAAATTGAAAATATGCAACTTATCTAAATGTTGTGAGATGCCCCACGATCAATATCAAATTTTATAATGATTCTTCATTAGCGTTGTTCAGAAATGATTACATGTTAAATTTTCTACTTTTTTATTTATTTATAAAAAACCATCTAGATAATATATTTATATGATAAACCATTATAATAAAAAAGTAAAAATCAGACATAGATAATTGTGATTAAAAAACGCAACCATTTATCATAAAAAAATGCACCATTTATAGTGATAAAATGTAAACCAATTATAATGAAAAGACACAAACACAAATTTTGAAATAAAATAACTTAATTTGACTGCAAATGACATTTATTCGAATCGTTATTTTAGATAGATTCCATATATTAATAAAATTTGGAATTGCTGACTGATGAGATGTCTTAAAATGACTAAGCTTTTCTTAAATGATATAAAAATATTACTTTTTTGTCGTTTATAATAAATGATAAATCGAAGGCAACATAAGTACTTAGCCACATTCTCACTAGTTTGTGGTGTTCTTGATTGAGAGGAAGGAGTTGTCAAAACATGTTCAGCAGCAGGAAAGGCGACATAAGCAGCTGCAGTGGTAATAATAACAGAAGCAGTCTCATTAGTGATCCGATTCAATGAGAGATGCCATAGCCATTGCGATTGCAGAGTTATCTAAGATGATCTCGACATTGTCAACATTTGGGGTAGATGGTTTTATCTCGATGGCTGAGATAGTTGTTGTTAAAGCATATATTTTGTGGTAGGGATCATTGTAGTTGAGGCAGAAATCGTTGTGATGGTTTATAAAAGTCAGAGTAACCAAATTATAAAAGGTGTCTCACCATTTCTAGTGACACTCATTGAATAATCATACAACAGTTTCATTTTTTTCTCACTATCTCCCAGTTTCAGATTCACGTAAAAACAGCTGTACATTTTTCTTTTTCTTCTGAGCAACTTTCTGTTGCTGCTGTGTTCATTTTTAGACAGATTCACTTTGCATATCACACTCCGACGATTGTGTTGTAAGTACCATAGACAGCAAAGAGCAGCCCGCAAATCACGATGAACACATCAACGGATTTGCTCCATAAGTTTAGCGATGGACCGAGCAGCGTGAGGTGATAAGAAGCAGGCAACACAAACGATATGAGTGCGCAGAGAGTACTTCCAACCAGAGATGCAAATGTACCGAAGCCTGGCACTAACGACGCGATCGCTGCGAGTCCTACCACCAAAAGCGTCCTCGTTGTGAAGATTACATATTTGGAGACCGAACCTGTTTCGTTGCTGTACTGATGCTTTTGAAGCCACTCGTTCCTTTTCAGTTTCTGCTCTATGATCTCGTTCAGCGGATGTACCATGATCGGGAATGTAAACGTCAATCCAACACATAAGCCAATCTATTCAAACCGAGAAAAAAAAGAGAGAGATAAGTATTGAGTTTCTTCTATCAACTGAGACTTTTAACATGATCAAGAAACACCGAGTTTAATTACCTGCACGGCAATGGCAGACCAATTCTTTGGGAGGTTGAGTGTGATGATATCCTTTGTTTCATCGCCGTAAGCCATATAGCCGCAGAAGCCGAACAAGACGTAGACGAAGGTGATCCCGGCGAGCACTTTAGCCAACAGTTTAGGGAAAGCTTGTCTCTCCCTCATGGAACCTTCAAGAGCCAGAGTCATTGCAAAGCCCTCGAAACAGAACACTGCAACTCCTCCAGCAAACGGTAAACCTCCGACGGTAGACGAAACGGCTGTTCTGTCACTAAACGAGAAGTCTCCTCCAATCACCATCTCCACGTTTTCTTTCACAACGAAGCACATTGCTATGATGTTGCATATGTCAGCGAAGATGCTGAAAGGCGATAGAGCTGATAAAGAAGTGATCCACGACAGTCCAACCTCGATCGGAACCAGGATCATGATGAAAGAGACCATACTTAGTCCATACGATCTGAATATGGATGACAAATTCCGGCCTATGAACACTAGATACGCTACAGAGCCACCGCATTGAGCAGCGAAGATGAGGATCTCCGTCAGGTATCGACCTTTGGTTCCCATACACTTGAATCCTAAATCACCGTACGTTTTCGATTCCTCTTGCCCTTCTTCCGATTCCAGCTTGTCTCTGCACTGAATCTGCATACATTTATCAAATCGAATCAAATCGAAATTCAGAAATCACCAATGTAGACATGAGATTCCAGAAGATTAAGATGAAATTCTGCAGAGAGAAATCAATTCTTCCCCCTGATTGATAATTGCTAATTCATTTCAGGTCGAGAGAGAGAAGGGGGGAGAGAAAGGAACTGACGAGGAGGAGCATGCAGTAATAGGTGGCGAATCCGACGATAATGACGCCGAGAGATCCGGCGAACCAACCGGCGACGCGAAATGCGTAAGGGAGCCCGAGGACTCCGGTACCGACGATGGAGACGATAATGTTTCCGAGCGTCTGAAGAGCCGTGGTTCTGTCTCCGGTCGTCGCAGATGACGGAGGTTTTATCAGAGGAAGAGATGCATCGTCGTCCTTCGCCGCCAGGTCCTTCATCGCCCTCGCCGAGATTCACTCCTCTTTATTCTATTTTTGTCTTTTGAAAATAAATTTGGTTGAGACCAGAGTCTCTTTAATTGATTGCTCTCTGATCACGAGGAGGAGACGTATGATCTCTTCCGCCGCCAATCTTATTGGTAACATTTTAACCCGCCAAAGATTCCCCCCGTATGACGTGGCGCACAGTCGTCCCTACATCTGGCGCGTAATTACCACGCTCTCGATGGATAGATCTGTGCTGGATCAAAGAGTAATATTTTGATTTTCTAAGATTTGTTTCTTTTTAAATGCAATAGGGTTCTGACTAGTCTTGTCGTGTAATACTAACAAGGAATTGAGGGGTCCACGGTCCATGTTTACTTTATCATGCTGCAACAACTCAAAAATACAGTAATGGATGGATTTGATCATTTATTACTGGTCGTGTACTTAACAAATATTCTTTGAATTCTTACATTTATAGGCTATTATTTGTAGCGCGATATAAAACTAATAAATGCTGTTTGTGGATTAACCTAATTTACTTTAGAAGTTCCGTTAGGTGTCACTACTTAAAATATTATCTTCATTGTTTTTATGAATTTGATCTGTTGTTGGTAACTTGGCATGAATCTTTATGAATTTTGTAGAGAAAAATGTACAAGATAAACCATATATGGTTTGCACACACACACAAAAACCACATATGAAGTTTTGTGTTGTTATAACGTTGGCTAGAAATATATTGTTAACCAAATAAAAATTAATAGATATATATGCAAACTACATTATCTTTAAAGTTCCATTGTTAACATCAACTTTTAAAATTTGCTGCTACAAGATCTTGCGATTAATATATATTGGCCGCTTTGTTAACTAGTTAGTGTCAGTGATACTGATAGAGACACACAAACAGTACGATTAATTACATTCATCATGTTTTATCAAGTAAGTGACAAATCTGCATTTCACACTTACACCGTTACAATATAATGACATTGTTGCATTCATCACATTCCTCCAAATTGTTCCATTTTTTCATTTGATTTATTTGAGAAATCTAGTGACGGGTAGCTTTTAATCGAATATTAATCAAAAATTTAGTAACACCATCAAAATTTAGAAATGCCCCCATCCACCGAATATCCCGAGATTAGAGCAGTATCTACAACAACCTAACGTTTAAACAAAGGCCTAATTTTTTTTGACAATTAGACAGTTAAGTGAAGCAAAATTGAAAATTTATCTCATCAAACAAGCTACATCAAAGTAATTTTTTTTATTGGCCGATGAATGAATACGTTCCAAAAAGGTTGTATTCTTAGTTAAAGGAAGCACGAAGACAATGTGGGTGATAGACGCAACGAATTGCATGTATAAGCTTTCTTCTCGGTCCAACGGCTAAAGCACCCATATGCTTAAGCTTCTCCATTGTCAAATTCGCCATTTGAAACTTACTCATCCTCTGTCCTCTCAACATCCTCTCAAACTCTCTACCCAAACCTATAGATCCAACCCATTCGTTCAATCCTCCAGCTTTCTCAATCTTCTTCTCCAGATTCACTACTCTCAGCTTTTCATTATCCATCACAACAGAGCTGCACATCACTTTAGGAAACCTCACGGGCCTGTGACCCGTACGGCTCCTCTGAATCGCCAATCTTCTATCAGGATCCATTCTACGATCTTGCATTGATCTCCTTGGACCTGGTGCTTTCCTGGTTTTGAGATCACGACGCATAACTCTCTCCGGTTTGTCTACAGCGTGAAACTCAGTTGTTTCGTGAGCATCCGCTACAAAGTCTCTCGGCATAGCTTGTAACTGAGAACTTGCAGGCTTCTGCATAGTGCAATATTCAAGTAGAGGAAGAGAAGGCTCAACTGTGTGAACATGAGTAGCTTTGCGCGTCTCGGCTCTTAACTCAGCGTGTGACTGAGAAGTTGCTGGCTTCTGCAAAGTGCAATGCTCAGTTACTGGAAGAAAAGGAACAACTGCGTGAACAAGAGTAGATTTGCGTGTTTCGGCTCTTACTTCAGCTTGTGATTGCGAAGTTGCAGGTTTCTGCAAAGTGATATGCTCAGTTACCGGAAGAGAAGGCACCATTGTGTGAACAAGAGAAGTTCCATGCTTATTATCTGCTCTTAACTCAGCTTTTGATTGAGAAGTTTCAGGTTTCTGCAAAGTGCAATGTTCAGGTACAGGAAGAGAAGGCACCATTGTGTGATCTGGAGTAGTTTTTCGCATATCCTTAATACCATCTCTTAACTCGGCGTGTAACTGAGAAGTTGCAGGCTTTGGCAAAAGCAAATGCTTAGGTGGAGGAAGAGAAGGCACCACTGTATGAAGATGAGCAGTTTCATGCATATCTGCAATAACGCCTCTTAACTCAGCTTGTGACTGAGAAGTAGCAGGCTTCTGCAAACTGAAATGTTCAGGTAGAGGAAGAGGAGACACCATAGTGGGAGCAGGAGTGGTTTCATGTACATCAGCAATCACGTCTCTTACTTCATCTTGTGATTGACAAGTTTCAAGCTTCTGCGAAACGAACTGTTCAGGTAGAGGAAGAGAAGGAGGCACCACAGTGTGAACAGGAGTAGTTTCTTGCATATCCGCAGTACCGTCTCTTAACAAAGCTTGTGATTGAGAAGTTGCAGGCTTTTCGACAGTGAAAGATTCAGGTAGAGGAAGAGGAGGCAATACAATGAAGACTCTCTGCTTTTTAACGAATACCCAACCGTCTTCTTCTCCATCAAATCCCAACTTGGAAGGACCAATCTTGTTTGGTTCCAACAGTTTCGGCCTTTGCCTAGCCATTAAAACCTGAGATTTCAACAACAGTAAGCTAAAATGTCTCTTATCTGCTTCATCACAAGAACAAAAAACATTTGGGTAAACCCAGTCACAGTAATAAGGTTTCTTCAAAACTGAAAGCAAACGAATGACAATCTGTATTGAATCCAGTTTTAGAACTTGTAGTCTTGGGTAAATCAGGGTAACAGCACAAATTTATGAAATGGATTAAGAAATTAAAACCGAATCAGAGATTTTACCCAGTAAATTAGAAACATTTTGAAAGAGAAGAACAAACCCTAGAGTACAAGTTCCTCTTTCAGCAAATAAATATATCGAGAGGTTGAAGATAAAGTCGGCCGCTTTCCGATCCAGAAGCCGACTTAAAAGCGAAATGTCAACGAGTCTTACCTCTGAGTTTCTTCTGGGAGTGACGATGACTCTCGTTGAGCTCTCTCTCTCTCTCTCTAGGATCGGAGGGAGCAGATCTTTTGTTTTTTCGAGAAACAATATCGGAAACTTGACCTCGTTGATTACTGGGAAATTGGAATAGAGAACCTATTTTATAACTTTTGGGGTCAAATTCTCAAAATCTCTGATTGTCCAAAGTTTGAAACTTTGGTGGAATATTTATTTTTTAGTATCTGATTTTCATTCATGGTCTTACTAAAATCCAGATCATGCCGCCATGAGTTTTTTTCAGGTAAAGACACCTCACCAATTAAATCTCAGCCGTTCATCTCAACCCATTACCTCATCCTGAACGTTCATTCAGCATCGTCTCCTCGTTTCCACCAAAAATAACCTCTTTCACATACATTGGGACACGAGACAGAGTCAAAAACACAGAGAAGAGGACTCCATGAAAACCCCATTCACCCATTAATATAGAAAAAACAAAAACAAACAACAATCAAACTTTTTCAGAAGAACAAACACGATTTTTCTAAGGTTTCTATAACCAGAAAACAGATTTTTCAACCTTTCTTTTTCATAATTTTGATATCTGTTCCTTCCCATTACGAAATTTTCCTTTTGGGCTCTTCCTTTCGTATTTACGCCCGGATAAATTATTTTTGGTATTTTTTTTCGTTTTCTCTTTCGTGGAGGATTTGTAAAATTCCCTGGAAAATAAGAAATTCTCGAAATTAGCTTCACCTTCCTCCAATTTCTGGGTCGCGGAGAGGTAAGGCTTCCATCTCCGTTTTCGAATTTCTCTTCTCTATTCCGATTGTGATATTACGATTCGTAGAGCTTTTGTTTCACTTCGAGAATTGAGGTTTAGATGATCTAAATCGCTTTGTGGTAATCGCAGAAATTGGCTTCAGCTGGAACTTCTCGTTTGTTTTGATTCCTTCCAAAGATGTATCGTATGCAACATCTAGGGCTTAGTGCGATTAGGTCTTCCTCTTTGCTGTAGTTTCGATTTTCCGGATAGGTTGTGGTCGTTGTGAGGATTGGAATTTGGGTACGGATTAATCTCAATTGGAATTTGAAATGGAGTCTCCGTCCAGAGATCAGATCAAATGTTGTGAATGTGGATGCGATTGTTCTCCAGGTTCCTGGAATCGATCTGTGAAGAGAAGACACGACGAGTTAGAGACTCGGAAACGTTTCTCTATACCGGAGCTTGACGACCCAGAGCTCTTTTCTAATCCTAAAGTCCACATCGAGAACGAATGCGAGTTACTACGCGAGACTGTCAGCAGCCAGCAGCAGTCGATTCAGGATCTGTATGAAGAACTCGAGAAAGAGCGGAACGCTTCGTCGACAGCTGCAGAGGAAGCAATGGCTGTGATGCAGAGGTTGCAGAACGAAAAGGCTGAAATCCAGATGGAACTGAGGCAGTACAAGCTTTACGTTGGGGAGAGAATGGAACATGACCAGCAAGAGATCTTGGCGTTGGAAGATCTTGTCAATCAAAGGGAGCAGACGATTATGTCTCTTACTTGTGAGACTCAGGCTTACAAGCATAGGATGATGAGCTACGGGCTCACCGAGGCTGAAGCTGAAGGTGGTGGTGATAGGAGCTTGCTTAGTCGTAACACGAGCATGATCCCAAGCATGATCGACATCAACTCTGAATATGATGACCTCCCTACATATGACTACCCTCCTCTAAAGTGCAATATAAATGAGAACCAAGATCCTCTGGAGTCTGATATTTATGTTGCAGACGATGAAAACTACCCACCTGCTGATTCGCCTCATGGCAGAGAACATTTGAAGACTCTGGATCGGAGAATCAGCCAGATGGAGACAAACCCTAGCTTTACTCAGCTGGATGGTGATTTCCAGGGAGGGAGAGGGATGGATGTTTCGGAGAAGATGGTCGTTGGTCAGAGTCCTAGGCGTCAAAGACATTTTAGGAGAATTTCACCAGCTAGCTCAACCTCACACTTGGGAGGAGCATCTAAAGAAGTTAGACCTGATGTTTTTGCTGAGTCCCCGAGGTCAGAAATCTACAGCTCTAGGAAAGTGGAGAATGTCTCATATACAGAGAAATATGCTAAAGATGATGATGACTCGTCGGATATAGGAGATGACATGAGTGATAGAGTTTATACCATTGATTCCGTCCATCACAGTGGTGTAGCTGAACAGAAGAAGCTTGAGGCTGAAACTTCGGATGGCAATGTGGTTTTCCCGAGAGAGAAAATGGATCATGGTGATCCTGATATAACGAAACTCTACATGAGGCTTCAAGCACTGGAAGCTGACAGGGAATCGATGAAACAGGCGCTTCTCTCTATGAGGACCGAGAAGGCCCAAATGGTACTGTTGAAAGAAATTGCTCAACATTTATCAAAGGAAGTTGTCCCTCAACGGAGGTTGCCTCTACGGAAAGCATCCACTTCTGGGCCTTTGACTTTCACGCCAGTCTTTAAGGTGATTTTTGCTCTCTTGATGTCTTTGTTAAGACAAAAACATACTGATAAGAAAGCATTTTCTTCTAAAGCTGTGTCTCACTCTCTAACTGGCTCTTTTGACTGCTGTTGCTCTGCAGTGGATCTCATCTTTTGTTTCCTGGAAAAGAAAGGCTCGTCGAAGCAAGTAAGTTGTCTATAACAAACTTTGGTTAGTTTCGGTTTCGCTCATCTTATTGAGAAAGTACTTGAAAAACATTGAACCAAAAAATACTTGATGCAGAGAGAGACGAATGTGATCTCATCCTTAGATGTTGCAAACACAGAGACATTGTTTTCGCTTGATAGTTAGAAGTTACTGTTGGTATTTAAGGAAGCTGATTATGAAACTTAAGCTTGTCTCTGTTTCCAATGGAAATGAACAGGTACATGTATGGGATGTCAGCAAATAACATCGGTCTGCAAATGCTTCTAGAAAAGGTCCCTCGTTCACGGAAATGGCGATGTCTCAGGAGCACGCAAGTGTGAGGCGGATCAAATCCTTTGAAGCAAACAAAACCACTCTCCTAACTCCTAGATTCCAAGCACATCATTGTCAAAAACTCGTTGATATTCGATAAGTGTTTGTGTGCCTTCTTCAACTCGAAACTTGGGTTGGGGAGAAAATGTTTGTCCTATGCGTTTTTTTTTTCATTCTGTTTCCCCCACCCCCACCCCCAATATTTTCAACTTGTTTGTATAAAGAATGGGGTTGAAGAATGATTTATAACTGAGAGGCTATACAATCTTTGTATGGCTTCTGAGTTCTGAGATTAATTGTTTTATTGGTTTTTCCATAATTTGGAGATCGATTCATTATCACAAGTTTTTTTTTAATGCGACCACCGTAACTCAAACAATCGTATGTAGTTTATATTTGCATATATTGTAAAAACTCGAATTAGAAATTAGAGTCGTCACTGTATATGAGTTCGACGAACCCGCATAATAGATATTGTTAACAAAGAACAAGAAGAAAAAAAACCTCTTACTAGATATTTGCCATTTTAAATCCTCATCCGTAAAAATCTTGATCTCTGTCATATAGTTAGGATTTAGGAAAAGTAAAATTGATTGAAATTCTCAGAATGTTGTATAAGATTCTCATAATGGTCTACTTGTACCTTATTCAAGTCAGTCATATATGATGCGTACATATACCAGACAGACCATTATGTCTATAATGGACACATATATTTGTAAACCGACAGTGACAGTACGCAATTTCTTAATGTGACGTTTTATTGTAAATTCTAAAAGAAGATACTATAAGATCATATGACTCGGTGGAACACCATAAGCAAAAATGGGTTGATTTTACTGTACAGCCAATCTGATTTTTCTTTTTCTTTTTTTTGGTCAAACACCGAAACACGAACAAAAAACTCAGAACGTATAAATAACATGTGTATAAATTAATAAATAAGTCAAAGGAGTGTAATTTAAACGTCGTAAAAAAATTAAAAAAAAACTATTATTTAATTCCTATATATTTGTTGACCTCAAAGTGAAACAGTTGAATTCGAGTAAAACACCATCCAAAAATTCACCCAATCAGAAAGAAGTAAACTAATTTCATTACTATCCTATTTCATTATCTTTACAATATTCTTAGAAAGATTAGCAATAAAAACATGTTAATAACCCACATAAATAAAATTAAGAGAGAGAACAATTGTTATTTAAACTCTTAAATATGCATGATTAATAATGATATCATAGACATGCAAAACATACACACGTTAATAACCCACATAAATAACATTAAGAGAGGGAAAATTTGTTAATTAAACTCTTAAAATGCATGATTATCATCGACGTAGACAAAACATACACACGTGTTGTATTTGATTTTGATATTGAAATATTCATAGTCTACATAACACATGTCAGTGGAATTCAAAGCGACGACTCTCGACAAGTAAACGCAGCCGCCTCCTCTTACCTCCACCACTTATTTCCTTCAACATTGTTTTATATACATCACATATTTTATTCAAAAAAGAAACATCAAATGGATCATGAAGAGGAGGAGATCGAGATCCCTGATTACTTTATCTGCCCAATCTCACTAGATATTATGAAAGATCCCGTCACGGCCGTTTCCGGCATCACTTACGACCGTCAGAGCATCGTTAAATGGCTCGAGAAGGTCCCATCTTGTCCCGTTTCGAAGCAGCCTCTTCCTCTTGACTCCGATCTTACGCCTAACCATATGCTTCGCCGTCTGATCCAACAGTGGTGCGTCGAGAATGCGACACGCGGCGTTGTCAGAATCCCTACGCCTAGAGCTCCTCCGGGGAAGCCTAACGTCCTCGAGGAGATCAAGAAACTCAAAAAATTTGGAGAAGAAGGTAGACCACTCGGTTCGGTCCGGTTATTTCTGTATTCGGTTCGGTGTGGCAAAACTTTAGTTCGGGTTTTGATAGAGCAAACCCCCCCAAAATTATAGAAAATTAAATATTAGTTAATAGTAAGTATATAAAAAAAACTCTCTTTTAAAAATATGTTTCTATTAACAAAATTGTCTCGGTTGGACCGTATTTAAGCTCGGTTCGGTTTGTTTAGTGAGCAACTTTCTATACTCGAACGTTTAAGATTGACATTTGGATCGGTTTAAACTGGACAGCTTTAGGAAGGGAAGATACCTTGAAGAAGCTTGAAGTTTTGGCTATGGAGGGAGAGAGAAATAGAAGACTGATGTGTGAAGGAGGCGTACATAGGCCTTTGATCTTGTTCATTGTCAAGTGTACGTGTGAAGAAGAAGAAGAGGAGGGACGACTTCGTATCAAAGAGCGGCTAGATGAATCTCTGCGTCTTCTTCACTTGATCGGTGTTCCATTAAACGACGCAAGAACCATCTTGTTCGAAAACGATCAAATCTTGGAATCGTTAACTCGTGTTTTACACCAGAAAGAGTTCCTTAACAAGGCTTACACAATTGTGCTCCTGAGGAACCTAACGGAAAATACTTCCTCCCACATCGTCGAGAGATTGAATCCCGAGATTTTTAAAGGGATCATAGGTTTTCTCAAGGATGTAGTAAGTAGTTTCAATCGCACAAGCCCTAGCGTGAGAGCTACTGCACAATCATCAAACTCTAGCGTGAGAAATAAGGAACCATCAAAACTTGATCATAGCTTGGTTATTAAACAAGCTGTGACCGCCTCGCTGATGATTCTTCTAGAGACCTCATCTTGGAGCCGGAACCGAACGATCCTTGTGGATCTCGGTGCGGTTTCAGAACTCATCGAACTCGAAATGAGCTCACCCGGTGAGAAGAGAACAACAGAACTCGTGTTAGGAGTTTTGTCTCGTTTATGTTGTTGCGCCAACGGTAGAGCCGAGATTCTTGCCCATAGAGGCGGAATCGCGATAGTGACAAAGCGGATACTGAGAGTTTCGAGTGCGGCAGACGATAGAGCTCTCTCTATCCTAAGCACACTGTCCAAATACTCGCCGGAAAACGCAGTGGTGGAAGAGATGGTTTGTGTCGGGACGGTGGAGAAGCTTTGTTCCGTTCTAAGAGTGGATTGTGGTTTGAGTTTGAAGGAGAAAGCCAAAGAGATACTTAGAGATCATTTTGACGAGTGGAAGAAGTTTCCATGTACTGATGTAACCCGAATTACTAAGCTTCTAAGCTCTTCGCCCAAAGATCTTCTCAACGAGTTTACCTCAAGAGTTGGTGGTGGTGTTTAGCATTTTTCCCTTGTGTACACAAAACATAATTAAGAATGCATTCACTGAGAATAGATAGATCATATCCTCCATCGACCAATTTTGATATATATTATAGTTATGAGATACATCACCAATTTTGAATTCGTTAAGAGTATGATTCATCATCGCCATTATCTAATTAAGCAAATAAAAGTGTTCTCAGGTGTAACAAAAACGCCACTGAAACTTCACTTGCACAAATTGTATGGACACACTGAAACTTCAATTTCACAAATTGTATGGACATACCCAACGGTATTCTAATTCAACAAAACACAAACCCAACACTAGCTTTTTTGATTTCACGATCAAAATTCAACAAAACTAAAATGTAGAAAAGAAGAAGAAACCCACAAGTTTGACAAGAGAGAGAAAACTTATCGCCTACGCATACCACGGCCACGACCTCCACCGCGTCCTCTCCCCATAGCTCCTGCGGCCGCCTCTCCCTGTGCGCTCTCAGACTGCGTTTTGTTTTGATACAATTATTAATACAATGTATAGACACATTATCAAAACCTATAAAAGAAAATGAGAGCATATGTTATTTTACTTTAGGGTTCTTCACGGTTTCGTCCACGCTAAGGATAAGGCAGGCTGCTTCAGTCGCAGCGTTTATAGCATTAATCTGCAACAACAAAGGGAATCAACCACTCATCAAAAAGCCTTTCTATGAAAGATATTCAAACAAAATAAAGTAGACTTGAAGTTCATAGAATCTTGCAATACCTTCACAACTGCTGGTTCCCAGACGAAGTTGGCAAATGAATCTGCGATTCCGCCAGTGTTAATGTCCACTCCATAAGAGGCTCCTTCACCTGTTATAATACAGATATGGTAGCATCATAGAATGAGATTACGCTGCCTATCAAAAGATTAATAAATTAAGTTTGTGACTGTGATAGAAGGCATACCGCTTTGCATGGCGTGTTTTTGTCTTAGTTTATTCAGGACATCAGTTGCATCAAATCCAGCATTGTCACATAATTGTCGTGGAATAACCTGTAGCACCACCACAATCAGTGCGAATTCAAATCTTTTTCTCAAAGGTGAACTAACAAATTTCGAATCCCGGACAAAGATCAATTTGGACTCTCTTTAGTTGTTTATCAAATTTCTATTCAACAACGAGCAAACAGAAAATATTTCTACTCTATAAATGCCAAATAACTCAGAACACAATTACGAAGCTCATTCTGATATGTGAATAGCAATTAACGGATTTGCACACAAAAGCATAACACCCAAGTTACCTCCAGGGCCTTTGCATATGAGTTGATGAAAAGCTGTGACTTTCCAGCAATTGTTCGTGAATGCTGCCTCAGGTACTTGCTTATCTCCATCTACAACAAGGAGCAGATACTTTCAGTGTAAATGGTATTAACCTACGTACAATATTTAAAACTCAGCCACGGTGGACGGACGATACTCACATCTATAGCTCCACCTCCAGGAACAACAGTTGAGTTCTTCACAGCTCTTCTCACGATCATAATCGCATCATGTAAACTCCGCTCAGCTTCTTCGATGAACTGCCATTAACGTTTCAACGGAATTCATATTTATGCTTATTTTTTTGTTTTCATGAAACCTCCAATATTTGATGTATACCTGATCAGCTCCACCACGGAGGACAATAGTTGCTGTACGTCCTGAAGGGCAACCACTGAATATGTTAAACCTCTCTCCACCAACCTGTTTTTCCTCAAATATCTCACACGTTCCGAGAACCTGTAGATGATTAAAACCAATCTTTGAATTAAAACTAATCTCTGAATCTCACAAGTCACTGAAAGCTAGTAAGCATATCCAAATACACGCAAGTAAAGAACATTTTTCACTAGCCTCAGTTATAATGTTGTTAACACTTGTCTGAACTGTTCCTCCAGCAGCAGCAGCCACGCGATTAAGATCTTCTTCTCCTACACGCCCAGCACAGAAGATATCGCGATCTGCGAAATACTGCAAACAAAATAATGGCAAAGTGTTGGTCATGCATAATAGTCTCACTTGCAAGACCATAACCAACCATAATAATGTCGAATGATTTCTTCAGAAATCAAGATAATGTCAATATTCAGGCTAGTGGTAGATGAAACCAAAAAAAGGAAGTCAACAAACCTGAGTAGCTAGATCACCAATAGCCAATCGAGAAAGAACAACTTTTGCTCCACTTTCGACACATTTGTCTAGCTTGTCATAAATGATATTCCATTCCGCATCAACTATTGACTGGTACTGTGATGGATCTGACAGCCTGCGAACAAATGGGTGAAGCCAAGTCAAAATAAGGCCAAAAGATGCTTAACTGAAGGGGAAATTTAACATAAAGAGCCAGAATTCCAACCTAATCTCAGCGTTTTCTTTCTCAGATTTCAACTCCAATTCGATGTTAAGCAGGAGAATTTTGGGATTAAGAAACTTCTTCGGCTGTTGTTCAAAACCGGCATACGAGAATGTCTTTTTGAAAGCAACACCATCAACTAGGAAAGAGTCTCGCATATTACCACCAGGCACCTGCAGAGCAAACCATGGCATTAGCTTAGAAAACATTATTAACGAGGCTTTAAAGCATTTCTTTTTCTCGACTTGGATCTTGAAAATTCCCAATCTAAGACAATCTGTTATAGACATGTCAATCGTATGGAGTCTATAACACTATGCCCATTCCCACACACCCAAATCTAACTGCTCCTTGGATATGAAATAGAGCAGATAGGCCAGTTGTGGTACTAAGGTATGAAAGAAAAACAACAACTCTGTACAATTAAAAGAAAAAAATCTCTTTACCTTCTTGATTCCAATCAAATTTAGCCTGTCGTCATTCCCAATCGCCATAACAGCATCAACAACCATTGTGGCGAAAAACTCCTTTTCTCCACCAATAAGCTTAGAGGAAAGAGTGGTAGCAGCACATTTAGCCAACAAACCTTTCTTCTCCTCAACACTTTTCCCCTCAATGCTAACGGCGAGTTCCTTGACCTTCTCAATTGCCTAATATGGTCGATAAACAGTGGTGAGTAGAGCCACAGAAAATTAAAGACTGGCCATTGTACTAACGAGTAGAAAAATACAAACCAAAGTGCTTGCGGTGCGATAACTTCTAATCAAATTCTGGGAGTGAACACCATCCTCAATAAATGGCTTAGCCTCCTTCAAAAACTCTGCTGCGAGAAGAACAACCGTAGTTGTCCCATCACCGACCTAACCAACAACAGAAGCAGCAGAAAATTCAGTGTTCATGAACTCAATCACGCATCTAAGATCTGCATAGTGGATCACACTTGATACTATAAACACTGAAGATCCAGGATGCGATCCAGCTCAATAACCAACGTACTCAATTTAGTAAAGGGAACACAAAATCCTACTGAGATGTACTTTGAAAACCGAGATTGAGCTACAAAAAAAACAAAAATCGGAAGCAAATAGTACCTCGGAATCTTGGGATTTGGCGATATCAACGAGGATCTTAGCGGCAGGATGGACAATGTCGAGGAGCTTCATGATGGTAGCGCCGTCGTTGGAAATGGTGACGGATCCCTTATCGTCGTGGATGAGCTTGTCCATCCCTCGAGGCCCGAGCGTGGTTCGAACCACATCGCCAATCGCCGTGCAAGCGTTGATGTTGCTCACTAGCTGAGCTTTCCCTTGAGAAGTGTCCGTACCTTCTTTGAGCAGTATGATTTGCGGTTGCTACTCCCGAAAACCATCCAAAGTGGAATCGCGTCAGTGAGTGCCTGAGCATAAGTAATAAGCACATAGAGTGAAGACTATAACTTACCATCATCGACGCCATTGTAGATGCGTGAAAGAGCTACGGAGAGAATGGAAGAAATGGGAGTGCAGAGAGAGAGAGTTAGGGTTTAGTTTAGGTCTGGTGTTCATATAGGAGTGGCGAGATTGAGTAGTAATTTTAAGATCCGGACCGGCCGGTTGAACCGATAAAACTCCAACTTAGCGGATGGATAGTCCGATTCGAATTCATTGAACCCACGATAGTTGAAAAATATATTTGCTTTTTTTTTGTCGTCAGATTTGCTTAAATGTGTAGAATGACAGAGAGTGATAACTTTTGATACTTCATGTAGAATGATAGAAGACTTGATGAGTTCTACCTCTATGGTGGTATATATAATCAAAGATATAATGAGTATGATAATGAATGTGCATCAGTGCATATCTAGTATATACTTTAACAAATGGAGGATCACATTTAAGAAAACTTACATACTTTTTAGGTGGAATTTGTTTCTACATAAAGATTAGTAGTCACTACATAAATTGAAGGAAGTTAAACCAAAATAATAATATTCTAGATCAAATTAAAATTAGTAGTCAATACATAAATTCATTGTATTTAAAATTGAGACAGTTTAAACAATACATTATTCCAGAGACAATCAATAGTTTGTAAATTTATTACACTGAATGACCTAAACAAAATATTACAAAAAATACCATCACCTCCTAAAACTATATATATTATTTTTTTACAGGCCTCCTAAAAATATTCAATCAAGTAAAAGTATTCAGTTCTTAAAAAAGTTTTGGAAATATGAATTTGAAAAGTAGAAACACACAAAAAAAAAGAAAGTAGAAACTCAGAATTCATGATATTTGGGCCTCAATTCGGCCTAACTTGAAGAGAAGGGTTTCTGGCATTTTGTTTTCTCGCTCTTGTTTTGTATTTTTCACTCCCATTTGGTTTCTAGTTGTCGCTTAATTAATTGGGCCTTAAGTATTTCTCTTTACAACAAAACCAGTCAACCAAAAGAAATTTGTCGTCTTGGTGTTTTAATTTCAACTTTTTCAGCTATAAATCCATTTCTATTTTTGCTCTTCTGATTATTTTTTTAATTAACAATCCTTTTTCCCATCAATCATAATGTGTGTGTGCAGGTACAATGAAATTTTTAATTTTTTTTTAGTGTCGGCAGGTACGATGAAATTTAATTTATTCATCAAATTCATCATATGCATAATAAAAAATTTTCCTCTTTTATAAATGGTGAAATCGGTAACTTCGTGAGCTGTTTGCTTATCTTCTACTAACCTTACCTATACGTTACACGCTTTCGCTTTCAGCTTTCCTTCTCCGCCATCGTTACTTACTCAGAAGCTTCCAAGTCAACCATGGAGACTTCATTCTTAATTTTCTCTCTCCTCTCTTTTTGACCTCTTCTCCGAACCTTTTTTTAAGCAAATAATACCTTCTTCCGTCATTCAATAAACCGTGTGGTTGAATCAGTACGACTTTCTTCCTTCCTTATCATTAATTCTTTCTGTTCATCGTTTCCGATCTGAATCTCTCTCTCTCTCTCTTTCTTTTCTCGATTTTTGATTTCGATGAACGATCTGTTTTCCAGCTCATTCTCTCGCTTCCGCGGCGGAGAACCATCCCCTCGACGAGACGGCCCCGGGGGCGGCGGCGGAGTTCAGATGGCGCATCCCGCTGGATCAACCGGTGGAGTGAATCTCGACAAGTTCTTCGAAGACGTGGAATCTGTGAAAGAGGAGTTGAAGGAGCTAGATCGGCTCAACGATACACTCCAATCGTCTCACGAGCAGAGCAAGACGCTTCACAATGCCACAGCCGTTAAGGATCTCCGCTCGAAGATGGACGCTGACGTCGGAGTTGCGCTAAAGAAGGCAAAGATGATCAAGGTGAAACTCGAGGCGCTCGATCGCGCCAATGCCGCTAATCGGAGCCTCCCTGGTTGTGGACCTGGATCCTCCTCTGATCGAACCCGGACGTCCGTCCTCAATGGACTGAGGAAGAAATTGAAGGATTCGATGGACAGTTTCAACCGCTTGAGGGAGCTAATCTCGTCCGAGTATAGAGAAACTGTACAGAGGAGGTACTTCACCGTCACCGGCGAGAATCCCGACGAGGGAACTTTAGATCGACTGATTTCTACAGGTTAGTCAAATCGCTTCTTCCATCCGAATCACTTGGCCTTTTACAGTTTAGTATAGGAAGACGCACGCAACTTTAGCTTATATCACCATCTAGGTTGTATAGCTGTTCAAGATGAATGCTCTCCGAGTTTGGATGCTAATGAATTATAATATGATGAACAATTTGGTTGCCTCTTACTTTCATGATACTGATTCAAGCCAATGTTATTTCAGTATCCATAATTGAATCAGATTATTTGCATCTAAACCAGAACATGTGGGCAAAATCATATTATGAATAACAGTAACTTCACATATAGCATTAAGATCATGAGCATGGATTTATAGCAGGAATATATCATTTTGTTGTGCTGATTCGTAGTTGCTTAGACCTGGAACTGAAAAAGAAGCTTGATATCAGAAAACTAGACATGTTGTTAGATGAGTGGTGTGTGTAACATTGGGGGATTTCGTTTCACTGTTTTGTTGCAGGAGAGAGTGAGAGATTCTTGCAGAAAGCTATACAAGAACAAGGAAGAGGGAGGGTCTTGGACACCATCAACGAGATCCAAGAAAGGCATGACGCGGTGAAAGACATAGAGAAGAACCTAAGGGAGCTTCACCAAGTGTTTCTAGACATGGCGGTGCTGGTAGAGCACCAGGGAGGTCAGCTCGATGACATCGAGAGCCACGTGGGCCGAGCTAGCTCCTTTATCAGAGGCGGAACCGAGCAGCTACAAACCGCTCGGGTTTACCAGAAGAACACCCGTAAATGGACATGTTACGCCATTATCATTCTCATCGCCATCATAATTATTGTGGTTCTTGTTGTTGTTAAACCATGGGAGAACAAAGGAGGCGGTGGCGGCGGCGGGGGTGGTGGTGGAGGCAATCAGCCAAATGCAGGTCAGCCACCGAGTCCTCCTCAGGCAAGGCGCCTATTGCGTTGAAGTGAGAGTTTCGTAATTTGCAAATATATTCGTTCTTTGAAAAACTTTACAGCTTGGTTATGGTGTTAATCACCCTTTTATTTGATTTTTGTGAAAGATTAAAAAAAAAAAATTGGTTAGATGAGAAATTTAGTAGAATAATCTCTTTTGTACATCTATGTTGCTATATGGGTTTTTTTACTTTGTTTGATTTCAGGGTTTATATCTGATTGAAGTGGTACATATGAGCATTTCGAACCAAACGAGGTTGCATCAACCGGTAACAGAAAAAGTATATTATTAGTCTTTGCATCACCAAATGACATAAATTCAAAAACTTGGCTTTAGGAGTATAGCAAAATGTTTAATTTGTCATTTAGTTCATGTGGAACGTGATAGTTGAGCATAAAAAAAATCTTGAAATCCATAGTCAACATTTAGTATCCATAACCATAACAAATTTGATATGGTCAATCAAATTATGTATAAGCATTAATCATTTAAAAACTATGGACCGTCATGATATTTCAACAAAAATAATTCATTAGTATTTTTAATATGGAACAAAAAATATAAAACGAGATTCAATAAAATTTCAAAGAAATTTATAAATGCAAAAACATATGTTAGTCCAACATGATAGTAACAATCTAAAAATCAACATTAATAATAATGGTTAGCTTCATCATATTGCTGTCTTATCAATTTAAAATTTAGGAAGTTACTTATTTTTTCAGTAAATTATATGCTTTTATGTCATTTTATCTAGTCAATATAAAAGTTTACCATGTTAGTTATATCTTAATATTGACTTTAAATCTTCTAAAAAAAGTATTTCCGGATTTTTTCCAAAAAAGCTATATGATGTATTATCAATATTAAATTTTTATCATATTGGTTTGGAAAGACTTATCTTTGCATTATTTAGTTTTTTTTTGAATAAACATAAAGTTTAATATTCACCCAAAATTTTAATTTGACTATTTAACTGCATTACCTATTTCACGATTCAACAATTTCAAATTGACTAATTTTTTCTCTTGCCTTTATGTTTTCATCTCTATTTAAATAAATCCGCATATACTTTTATACATCACCAAACACACACCAAAAAAAAAAAAAAAAAGAGAGATCCAAATCAAAGAGTGATTATGACAGGAAAAAGAGTAAAACTTGTGGTGGTAGCGAATGAAAATTCTAGAGCTACAAGTTTAAAGAAACGAAGGTTAGGGCTGGTGAAAAAAGTGAGTGAATTAACGATACTGTGTGATCTAAAAGCTTGTCTGATCATGGTGAACCCCAACGAAGCTGAGCCAATGGTGTGGCCATCTGTTGAAGCGGCTCGTGACCTCCTAGACGAGTTCTTTTCTTTGCCGGAGTACGAGAGGAGGAAGAAAGAGACGACGCTCGTGTCACACCTGAAGGAGAAGACCAAGAGGGTTCATGACCAATTGGCCAAGACTCAGAAGAAAAACAAAGCGTATGAGACATATCAACTGATGGTGCAACTACACGGTGATCCAAGAAGTGCTGATCTTAACCTGAATAAGATATACAGATTGATATCTTTTTCAAAGGATAAGATCATGCATTTGAGGACGATACTCAATTTCATCAACCATCTTCCTCTTCCTGAGCCACCGATGAATCCATTCGAAGTACAGTACGAGGAGCGTAGGCGCACCACAAACGACACTTTCATGATAAGAGGCGATCAAAACAATGAAAGAGGTAAGATACTTGATGAGTTAGCGCGAAGAATCATTAACAATGGTGCTTTAAGAGAAAAACGTACTCGTTACTTGCTGGATCAATGGGTTATATTTCCATCTTCCGAACTTCATGAAATCCACCAACAAGTCGGGAAGGAAATGGTATCTTGCAACCAAAATCCAAACCGTAGATGCTATCTTCCGTATCAAGGAAGTTATCATTCATACCAAGGGAGCAGCAGCAACGGAGTTTCTGATCTGGAGATGAACCCGATGGGTCCACCAGTGATGGCTTTTCATGGTACGGTTAGTTCCTTCTCTCAACCATTACAATATCATCATAACATGAATAATATCCCGATCATGGCTATGAATCAACCAAGGCAATACCCATTTGAGTTCACGAGCGGTGAGGTACAAAGCAGCATCAACATTGGCGGTTCACAGTTTTACATGAGGAGCGACGACAGTCTCCGTCAAGAGCGACCAGTGGATGAAGCAACCGCCAGGGAAGATAATGCTGATGCTACGTCCTTTGATATCATTAGGGATTGGGCGATATTTAATAGCAACCATCATTTCTAAACTTTGAGTATTTGATATTGTGTTTTAAGTTTGGTATGAATCTTTTTTGAAATTGTGTTTGTAATTTTTGATATTTGCTTTCTGTTGTATGCTTGTTTGCCTTTGGATTTATCTTAAACACATTTTAATTTGTCATTTTGAATTTACCATGATGTCATGTTAGTTGGTAGTTCAACCGAGGTCAGTTTGATACATAGATTTTTCCAACTATATATCTCACAAGTAAATCCAAAAAAAAAAAAAATTAGTTCATGTATATCTATTTTTAGTTCATGATGAAGTTGCAAGCCAAGTAATAAAATACAGTGTATATATAATATGTAGCCATAAATCATGCGGGCAAGAGACCAAGAATTAAAACACAAACAAAGCAGGCGAGAAATAATACAAAATTACAAAGAGTAGCAGCAACAGACAAAGGTTGAAAGAAACTCTAAATCAGAAGATGTTTTTGAATTGGCTGCTTAGTGAATCCTTAAGATTAGAGTAGAGGCCATAAAGCGAGTACTGCTTCAGATTTGCAACCTCATACCACGAGTTCATGGCGGTGTAGTGCTTATCGGTGCCTGAAAACGCCAATTGGATCCCTAAGCTGCAATCTACTTGCCCTCCTTGGTTCTTGCAGCTCTGTGTTTTGATTGCGCATTGTTCATTCTTGAGGCACACGAACTTCGCATCTCCAGCGCATTTGGAGCACCCGTCTTTCTTCCAGAACAGATTCTCAAGCCTGCCCTTCTGGAACTCAAGAACCTGGAGTTTAACCAAGATGAGATAAACACAGATTAGAGACGGACGTATGTGTAGAGAGAGTTACAAGTGTTTCTACAAGACGGAAAATCTAGACTGATATATGAGCTTATCCAATTACAAGTGTGAAGCTTGTCACGATGTGACTGTTGTCTGCAACCATAATTGGAATTGATCTTGCAGCGTACTTTGCACCAGCGAATGCTACCATGTATCCCTTTGAAGAATCCTGGAATCACAAAGTTTCATCACACACAAAAAACCATTAATAAGCTAAGCTAACACACATTCAAGACGACTACTTGTGAGCAAAAAACAGTAAATTTCATCTCATGTTTGGCAGTGAAGCTACAATATCATAAGCTAACCTGCTTAACCCCTAAATTTTCAAGAAACCTTGACTACGAATCTCTATATGACCCTGATAAGGAATCTGTCCTGACAAATTCTATCTTTTCAACCTCTCATCACACTGAAACAGATTCAGAAAGAAGCCACACCTTTTCAAATTGATTGTATCATGCAAGAGATATCGACCAAATAGCTTAGCATCCAGATGACTACCAAAGTCGTGATTTTGACAAGTCAACGAACTACACTGATCTAGGCAGATAAATTCCAATGCAATCGAGGATCTATATGAAATTTCCATAGGATGGGCGTTATTATCCTTTCTAATCTGATCAAAGCCTGCAATCAAAAACCCTAATTAACCATGATGGATCGGAGATGAGAACGTACCGGGCGGAAACTGGAGGAACTGGAGGAGGTATTGATGGTGAGGAGGGTGATCTCATCGACTTTAGGTCTGAATACGGCGAGCTCAGAGTTGCCGTTGAGCGAGAGGCGGCGACGATCGCAGGGAGAGTACTGAACGGAATGATTAGAACCGAAGAAGGAATCTCTCGCCGCGAAGGCAATGCCGAAAGTGAATCCATCGCCGATCGCGACGGTGGAATCTGAACAAGGCGAGTAGACTCCATTGTCGTCGCCGGCTGCCGTCAGGGATGACGTCAGCGCCGCCGCGAAGAGGCAACAGAGAAGGAGGAATCTAGCCATCTGTCAAAAAAGTGAATTAAACAAAAGCAAGCTCCTTCGAAACTTCTCCCTCCGATTCGCGAGGATGTGTTTTCTCAGTCATTAATCAAATAAGCCTTTAAATCATGGGCCTGTACATATGCGGCCCAAAATTATTATTACTTTTTCTAGGTGTCAGTGCGTGTCATTTCATTAATAACTAAAATATCTAATACTATTGATGATAATATTGAAACTTTATAAATTCTCTAGAATTAAATCACATTTCAGGAAAAAATATCTTGGTTTATATATGTAGATCAGATTTCGTGTTGGATAAGAGAAGAAGTTTCGTTGAAGCAGGAAAATTAGTATTTCCCAAAAATAATTGTCAATTGTGTGCTGTATTATTTATTATTAAATTAAATAGCGTCAAATCTGAGCTGGCAAATCCAACTATTTTTTGGTGCCAAGTGGTTAACTACAATCGAAACTGTTTGAAAAATCCCACCTAACGGTGAATCGTCCACTGCTAATCCAATGTGGTTATTCACAGCGAATAGATTTACTACGAAATCTAAACCGTCGGTGTGGAGAAATCAGGGGCCTACCTAAATGAACGGTTAAGATCTATCCGACATTCCTTGTGAAACGAGAATCCCGATTCCGTATTTGTGTTCTGTCTCTTTGCTTGTTTAGTCTCTCCTCGTCCCTCAATCATCATCTGAAACTCCAAAATTCGCCTTCTTTTGCGGCTTTTTTCTTCGATAATCTATCAACCATGTCGAAATTTTCGAGATTTTCTCTGGCTATCTCTTATTTTCTACTCGTCTCAACGATTGTCAGAGCCACCGATGTCAAGTACTGCGGTATGTCTGGTCCTTACAGCGTAACTGGGTTCTTCAATAATTCCTGATTTCCGATTTTTGCTTGTAGTGTTTTAATCGACTTAGCTATAATAATAGATTGAGATCGTGTGTTGCCAAGGATCCAGTTCTGAAAAACTCGAGATGACTTTGATTTTGAGCCTTACTGCGTTGAAAATTTTGATTTTTTTTTTTAACTCTTATTTGAGTTGAAATTCAATGTCTTTGATATTGATCCTTTTTTGCGTTGGGCTTAACTTTTGACAATTAATCTCGATCTGATTTTGTTATGTGTTTTGGGTTGCAGATAGTAACCAAGACTATGAAGTAAAGGTTCAAGGAGTTGATATATCGCCTAATCCTATAGCTCGAGGCGAGCCAGCTACTTTCAGCATTTCTGCCAACACAGGTGGTTTCAGTATTTTTTTTTTTAACTTCGTGTTCTAACAACTCGGGCTTACACATTCATTACCTACAACTTGTTAGTTGTGTTACAACTTGTTATGTTCTCAGAAGGATCTTTCATTGTCCTTGTTCGTTCTTGCTTGGTTTGGTATTTGTTTCTAATTTGGGTAAGCTTCGTGTTATATGAAGACAATATGATCTCAAGCGGGAAGTTGGTGATCGAAGTTTCCTACTTTGGGTGGCATATTCATTCTGAGACACATGATCTTTGTGATGAGACTAAATGTCCCGTGGCAACTGGAGATTTCTTGGTACAGCACTCGCAAGTTCTACCTGGATATACTCCTCCTGTAAGTTTGTTGTTCTTCTTTGCTTGCTTCGATTTACGCCTTTTCTGTTGATTGATTTGAAACATTGTGGTTATAATGACACGCTTCGGTTCACTAAGGCTCTTTCGAGTTTGATGTTATCTTATAGCAATCAGAAAAAATTTATGGCCTATTTTAATCGAGTAGTTAATATTGATGATTGGAATGCGTACATGTAGAAGTATAAAATGAATGGAGGGAAGAAGTTGAACCGTATATTTGTCAAGATTGTTTTATGAGCATTAGTCAATAACAAGTTTTGTTATTCGGATTCCGCATTTAAGGAACAATCTAATCCTGTTTTTTTTTTATTCCTCATAGGGATCATACTCACTTAAAATGAAGATGCTTGATGGGCACAAGGAGTTAACATGTATCAAATTCTCATTTGATATTGGATTCGGATCATCTGTGGCCGACATTTAGAGCCATTTGCTCACTGGAATATACCCATTGAATCATTCCATTTGCTTTGTATAAAAGAAAAACAGACTTTTCTCTTTTACCCATATTTGTTGATCAAAAAGCCTTTGAAAACTCTCAATCTTGTTCTCATGTTGGACCATTTATGAAATCCCAATTTATTCAGATAATTTCATCACTCAATAAAACCTAAACCATTAATGACTGTGAGGAGAAAAGGTGAGTATCTTTTTCATAACTGAGCTTATCGAAGCTTGAAGGATAAGAAGCAGAGATTGGTGAAGAAGAAACTGAGAGCTTAGAACATCTGTTGGGAATCTTGGGACCTTAAAGCAGGTGATAGCTCTCCACAAAAGCAATCTTGATCGCTCAATTTTTGATCAAAGACTAGGTCTTCTTGGATTCTGATGACCAAGAAATTGAACGGAGTCTTGAAGAGCTTTATCTGAGTTTGAAACTACACATTTCTCTTCCGAGTTCTCCTCGAATACCCATTTTTCGAAATCATAACTCAAGTCACTAATTTCTCTACGTGAATGAGAAGAGACTTGTCTTCTTTTAGATAATGGGCCGGGCTCAAATTATAGTCAAGTAGCTGAGTTTTGCAAAAAAATTTAACCAAATTTAACAAAAATAAAACCAACCAAATATGAGAAGAAGAAAAAAAGTTAAGAAGAGTAGACTTTTACACACGCGTGACGACATCCGCACGAGTGACACAAGCGAATCGAGACACGTGTCATTCGATGGTAAGGCTTATTTTAAGTTTTTAACTCGCGCAGTATCTCCTCGCTCTCTCTCTCTCCCGACGGAAACCCAGGAACAGTTTCTCTCTCCATTTGCTACATCTCCTTTCTCCCTGCGAAATCTCAAGGTTCGTTGACCTCGTCGTTGTGTTTTTGTGTTTGGATTTTAGAGTCTTTGTCTCTTCTGCGTATGATAATTTTCAATCCAAATTAACAAAAATTCTGATAAACTTAATTGACGGAGTATCCTTTGTAAAGGTCTTACCTTTTTCTGTAATTCACATAAATCCAAACATAGACTAGGGTAAACTTGTTGATCTAGCAAAACCCAGTAAAGCATTTAGCTCTCATTTCGACTACATTTCTTTAATCGATAATCCCATATATTTTTTTCACCGATTTCAGACCACATGGCCTCATTTGACGGAGGGTTTGCGATGGTTGATGGTTCTTGGATCCAGACCAAAGCCATTGATGTCGGACCGACCACTGATATCTCTCCTTACCTTTCCCGTATCCTAGAAGACTCCGTCTGGAACGGGAACCGATCCGTTGTCTTCGACGTCTATTGGGATGTCGATTCTGTGAACGCAAAGTCCGAGTGGCGTCTAAGCTCGGTGAAGCTAAGCACGAAGAACTTCTGTCTCTTCCTCCGCCTCCCAAACCCGTTCACCGACAACCTCAAGGATCTCTACCGCTTCTTTGCTTCCAAATTCGTCACCTTCGTCGGCGTCCAGATCCAAGAAGACCTGGTCTTGCTCAAAGAGAATCACGGCATTGTGATCAGAAGCTCCCTGGAAATTGGGAAACTAGCTGCTGTTGCTCGAGGAACTCCGATTGTTGAGTTCCTTGGAACCAGAGAGTTGGCTCACAAGATTCTTTGGTATGACATGAGCCGCCTCGACTCGATTCAGTCCAAGTGGGATGAAGCAGGGTCTAGTGATCGTCTTGAAGCTGCAGCCATTGAAGGTTGGCTTATTTTCAATGTCTACGATCAATTGCAGCAGTGATCTTTTTCTAATGTGAAAAAACTCTATATCGATCTTATATAGGTTTGTGAGATTGCTCTTTGATTGATTGCATTTTGATAGTTCGTTTGTGGCAATGACTGAACAATAATGTCTTGACTGAATAAAGAAAGCTATGCCCGGCTTGATTTGTTTTTTGATTTTTGATTTTATTTCAACTATTCTCTTATCAACTTTATCAATTAAACATAAACGAGCAAAAATGTAGAATACGTCAAATACAAACAGGCTTTAACAGACGCAATTAGCTAAAGCTAACTAAAAACAGAGTTTACTCTAATCACATTCACAGTAAAAGCTAAAGAGAGATACAAAACTTACAAGAAACTCGACAAAACCTTTGTGACTTTCTCAGACGACAATCTCTGCGTTTGTAGTCATCTTCGTGTAATGAAACTCGATCTGTAAGCGGTGGTGAACAGGCACGGTCGAAGCTAAACCTTTCTTGATATCCTCTTGCAGTTCCCTAATCGGTATCGCCGCCAAGAAACTCTTGATGTACTCTTTACACGACTCTTTCCCTCTGCAAACAATCTCCGGCTCAGATTCCGACTCTGATTCCTCTCCATGAACAACAGTCTTGTGGATGACCGTTTTCTCGTCGAATTTCAAAACGTAAGCTTGATCACAACCCTCGTAGAGCCTTTCTCCAAGCGTGTCTATGATATAGTAAGCTTCCTTCTCAACTTTGAGAACAAAGAAGTGATCATTCCAGCTCACAATGTAAACGTGTGGGGACTCGTCATGGTCGTTCTCCCAGCTTTCCTCCAGACTGATAATCTCATCCCAAATACTATCGAAAGACATTGCGCCTTGAAGAAACTCGAATCTTCCTTCGTTGATCATCCCTTCTGGATGGAAAAACCCGACGAAAGACTTCCCGGGGATGACGGTTAAAGGCCGGATCTTTGCTTGCAGCACGGTGTCGAGGTCGAAATGCTTGTCAGGGAATTTCTGCATAAACGTTTCGTTTTCGCAGAGGTTTCTCCACTCCAACGAACCTTCTCTGATCAAACTATCGAACTGAGACTTGATCGGCATGAGGTTACCGTTCTTCTGGAACCAGTCCGCGACAACCGCTACAAGAGCGGTGCAGGCACTCTCACCGGCTGCTCGCTCGCTTCTCTGGTCAATCGAAGCAAGAAACACATTTGTCTGAAGCTTCATGTGTCCGTCTCGGCTTATCACTTCTTTCTCTTCCCAGCTTCCGATCGCGAAACTGTCGTCTCCAAACTCCGAGAAAGAAGATCGCGGATTGGCTGATGAATCTTCATCTCCTTTGCTCCTCTGCAAAATCAAGATTCGCAAAAACAAAAAATGAGAGCTTGAACACACGGAAACGCCAAGATCTTGAAAAAACAGGATTTGAGAGTCTACTTCTTACCGCAAAAGGAGGATGAGCTTCATCTGAGCTAAGTTGCCTCCGATCATAATCAATGTCATCTCCACCTTCTTCTCCGTTATCCTTCTTCAACAGAGGCTCTCCTTTGGATTTCGGCGACCTAAAGCTCAGTTTGCGCTTTCTCCACGGCAAGATGCTACGCCGTGGAAGAAGAGACGACTCGTACACCAAACCAGCGGAGGAATCTTCAACGTCCGAGCAACCTCCTCCTACGTCGGATTTCCTGTGGCTGTAATAGATCCAGTCTTCGTCTTCGTCGCTGACTCTTGTGCCACAGTTCAACGAGGTTCCAACACCATTTGCGTAAGACAGAGATCCATAGGAGAAAGATTTCCTCACGCTCATCAAATCTTCTTCTTTGACTTGATCAAAGTCCTCCTCGAAATCTTCAAGCGATTCTGATGATTCAAAGCTCGAGGATCTGCCTTCTTCTTCTCGACAAGCCTTCTTGGCTTTCCTTGTGGATACAAACTCTGTAAAGATCTTGACTTTCCTTAGACCCGCTTTGATCGCAGAGACGTCTTCCTTCTCAGTTGGGTGAGTTTCAGTAGGCTGTTGTGGCGGTGGAGACGGGGCAGGGGCAACCGCAACCGCGGTTTGTGCCGCTGAGTCTGAGGTTTCTGGAGTGGTTCTAAGCTCAAGCAGGCTCAGTGATACCTAGAAGAAGAAGAGAATCAAATATGGAGCCAACAAAAGTAGAGAGGAAGTAATGAAAGAGAGAAGTGAGCGTGTACATAGAGCAACGGATGTGGCTCGGAGGCAACACAAGCGGAGAGAGTGAGAGGAATGTTTAATTCAAACTCTCTTTGATCGGTCACACGGGCGTATTCAGCAAGATTCAAAAACGCTGTTCCAACGAGAGGAGCTTTATTCTTCTGCACTTGCTTCGTTCCCTGGAATCAAATCTCAATTTAGAAACTTTCTCTTGTTTTGTCTGCAGCTTAATTTCTAAACATTTGAATCTAAGGCACTAATAATACTCTTACAAATTCTAAACCTTTGTAATCGTGTTTGAATACTTACATTGGTGAAGACAGAGAAAGCAATCTCCCATGGATAAAACAAAGTGTCCTCCTTGTAAGAAGTGAGAGAGCATAAGCTCTGAAACTCTTCGTCTTCCCATGAAACGACGTCGCTTTCCCCCACAGCTTCCTTGGTGACGTTCCTCTTCACCGTCCTTCTTAGGGATCCCAATGTCGCCTTTGGCCCTTTCCAGCGAATCTCCACCGTCAATTTCTCCTTCTCCGGTGAGCTCTCCCTCACCAGATCCCACCCTTCCAGCCTCTTCACCGATAGCTTCACCTCGTATTTCCTCGTTACTAGCGGCGGCCATGGCCGCCACTTCATCATCTTCACCACCATTTTTTTTTTTGTTCTTTCACGCGAGCTGGAAATTTAGATTCGTCAAGAAGAAGAGAATCTCAGAAGAAGGAAGAGACGTAAGAAAACTCTTTGGAGTAGTTGAGAAATTTGGGGGAAGCTAGAATCTAGAAATCAAAAAAAAGTTTCTTTCTTTGGCTTCAATCTATTTCGCTTGTTAATTAGATCAATGCCCAGAAATAGAAAGCAAAATTAGACCCAGAAAGCTTTTAGGATGAGGTTTCTTGGAAAGATAAGCTAAGAGAGATCAAAAAGGTATATAATAATAAACAGGAAGAACGTTTGAAGCTAAGATTAACTTGAAATTAGCTTCTCTGCTAAAAAGATGAGAAAGTATGGTGCTAGTAGTAGAGAGAGAGAAAGTGGACACACACAACACAGCACAAGCGTGTAGACAGAGAGAGACAACGAAGAAAGTGAAAAGAAAGATCCGAACTTAGCAGATCTGTCCCACTCTCTCTAACGAACGAACGATAGATAGAGAGAGGCAATATAACAACAAACCGGTGTTAAATGTGTGAATTAGTTAAACCGTGGTTAAGCCGGGTTTAGAATCCATTTATCCAAACTCACGTGGGGGAAGAGCGACTGCTTCACGGCGTCAATAGATTCCGTTCTTCTTCTTTTGTTCACCCTTTTTATTATTAGCAGCTTCAAATTAAATTAGTTCCAAGACTTCAATTTTGGCTTCATGTGTTGATAATTTGTAGACCATGTGTTTTTGTCCCATGATACTTTAATTTAAAAGTACTAATCTTGGTTGCACTTCTCTATTATTATTCCTCCCAAATTAATCATCGTTTTATTATATAGTAAAAGAATATTAAGTAGACTATAAAAGCTGGTAGTTCACCATTCCATTATTGAGAATTTGAAAGCTTGGTGTCTGATTACAAAACTTATTTTAGAGCCAAAAAAAAAAAAACTATGTTTAACAACGAAAATCCCACCCAGCTGTAGAACATCTTCATTGCTCCATCTCATCGATTTTTTCCCACGTTTTGGCTTTGAATTGGTCTTTCTCTTTGAAAAAAAATACAAAACTATATATATATATATATATATATATTTATATCTAATAAAACTTATGATACAATCAAGTACTCAAACTTGTGGTTATCAACTTTTTTTATTAAACGTATGATTATGTCTGGTCTTACTTATTGGTTAAGCATGCAGCACTATCTAAGATTTTAGTTGTTGTTGTGTCTGTGAGTAAAATGTTACTTTTAAACATCAAACTGTCGTGTTAATACTTTTGTATGACTTTGTATATATTGTACCTCGTACTAGTCGAATGATTTTGTATATCCCATGCGGCTGTGTTTCAGAACTGCCTTGGTACGTAGTATAATTGTTTGATCCTTGTCATTCACATGAGTTATACGTATTGACAACTATGTTCAGAGGTCTTGAGGAGGAAGTTACATGTACATCAGTACATGTTAATCTTCACTCTTTATTAGTTACAAATTTAAGTAATAGTAAAAATGTGTTAGACTCTTAGTTAGAGGCATGCCATTCTTTAGAGACATCCTCCAACTCCAATCATTTAGGCACGATATCGATCCTATCGTTACAAAATAATGAATGTTCACGCATATATACAAACTCGAATATATACCTGCAAGCATATGTATTTTGCATATAATTTTAGTATTCCTTTAACGAATTTTTTACATTTAGTGTTTGCTTAAAAAATTTCAATGATTAGTTTATTTTGAAATGTTACTATATGGTTATTTTTATGCGACAACGTTAGACAATTCATGTGAATCATGCCACTTGAGTGTGGTGGTCACTGGCCATAGCTATGCTTCACACTAAAGGAACAGACGGTATCTAATGCATCATGCATGATCATTCTTTTTTTTATCGCAAAATAATTTAGCCACCCACTTTATATTACAGGTATTACTAAAAGTAATAATATGACCATTTAATTAAATACTTACGATCATGATCATGGCTAAAGAATTCGATGATTACTTGTTTCAGGCATCACAGCCACAGGCCATACGTTAAGAAACTTAACTGGTTTAAACACGACGATTACCATTGCGATTGTTGGGATTTACGATAAGGGACAATTACGAATAATGAATACTATATATTGAAACTGGAAGCGTATTTATAATTGCATTATCATTCTACTAATTAACAATAATTTAAGACGCTGCATTAGAACGAATAAATATATCCAATATATCATTTTCGTTTTTTAACTATCAAATTAAAGAATCAACTGGTACACAAAAAACAATCGAATCACTTAGTCAGCGATATTATCGGATATGAGATGGTGGAATTTCAGCGTTGTCGTCACGCTAGTCATTGACTACATAATAATAATAATAGCACTCAAGTCTTAAGACTCTTAACAAACAAAATAATGAAAATAGTAAATAGCACCATTGGTTTATACAAACAAAAAATAATCACTTTTAGCGTTTGAAGTTGGGTTTAATTTGTCTCAACCACAATTTTTAGGGATACTTTTTTCGAGAGCTTTTGCTTTTTTTCTCTGGATCCTTCCAATGCCGCCAAGAGTTCGTGTGACACTTTTCTCCAATGCCCTATATGACTCCTACTCCTAGTCCTATCCCATTTATCCTTTTAATTATATACATAGCCCTTTCTCTGAGTATGTCAAGATGTAAGCTTGATCACACAACCCTCATAGAGGCTTTGTCTGAGTGTATCAAAATGTAAGCTTGGTCAATACAAGTTGAATCACATATTATTTATATACTAATGTATGTGTTAGTTACTTCTCAATTCGTATCTGAAATTCTTACTTGGGTCCGTTGGGTGTTTACTTGGGATAGATCTCCTACGACTTGTCTCAAATAAATCTACTGAAACATGCATGCATCTTGATCCGTTAAGCAGCCTGAACGTGATAATCAAACCACCCTTTACAGTTGTTGTTCTCACTGTATATAAGAAAACCAGCAGAACCATGAGAAGTCTATGTTAAGCAGAAAAAATAATACATTTTGTCTAATTTTAGTTTATTTTTTTAATATGTGTAAAAACTTCAAAATGTCTTTCTTTTAGTAACAGAGAGTGATTTTTAATTGTTATGTTTTTCTAATGAACATATATCTTTAACTTTTGCTGTCAAAAAAAATATCTTTAACTTTTAATGGACAAAAGTATTAGTTAAATTAAATGTAAGAAAATTAAGGAGTAAAATGCTTTTAGATAATTTTCTATATTATAAAGGGAGGATTACTAGAATACTCTTTTAGATAGCTGTATTGGCTAGAATAACTGAACTTTGTTTTTATTACTGAACTAACCTAGCGTACCGATTATGTCCTTCGAACCTTTGATAACAAAAACGGTATTTACGATTGTGTCATTACTTTTCTTTTGCCATGTCAGCGAGATGTTTGATGGTAGACTTGTTTCGTTTGGTCAACGGCTGGTAGATTTGTTTCGTGTGGTAGACTTGTTGTTGACGGTGAAGTGCTTATGACGCAGTAGATTTTTTGGGAACGGTAGACTTGTTCCTTGAACGGTAGATTTGTTTCTCGAACGGTAGATTTGTTATGGATCTTGGTAGACTTAAAAATATGTTGTGGAAGATTTTTTGTTTTCGATCCTACCGGAGGGTGATTGATTGACTTTTTACGTTCATTGACTTTGAGTGGCAGTAGATTTGTTTCTGGACTTGGTAGATTTATTTTCATTTGGTAGACTTAGTATTTGTGGTGGTAGATTTGTTTTGTATTTACTTGGTGGTAGAGTTATTTTGTTGATGGTAGAGTTTTTAGTGCCAACGAATCCTGGTAGATTTATTTTGCTGTTGTGGTAGATTTACTTTATTTTCGTAGTGGTAGAGTTATATTTTCCATAATTACCAGAATAACATCATTGGTAGATTTATCGTGTTACGAGGTGGTAAACTTAATATGTGCTGGTAGATAGTTGACTTTTTCACAGATCGTAATTACGTAGTGGTAGACTTTTAATGGGGTATTGGACGGTGAAAAACGTTGAAATCAAATGTTGATAAGTGGGATGTTGATTTTGGACGTGATAAGAATGTGAATATTGCAGTGAAGAGATTCAACCTCTATAGCATCTGTTGAAGATTCATTCATTATATTTCAAAATTTATCGAAAGTACATAGAGAAGCAGTTCTTAAAGAAAGAAAGTACTTAGAGATGTTCAACGAAGAAAGTGCATAGAGATAGATAAAGTGATTCACAGTAGAAAATAGACGCTATTAAAACTGAAATCTAAGTAGTTGGTACTGAAGAAAAAGGTAGCACTCGTGGCAACACATTAATGAGTGTTTGAATCTGCAGCTTGGAAATTCTTCTACTTTGAAAACATTGGGCAACAGATCTGCAGTAGCACTCTGCATTCCCATCTTGGTTCGAGAAACCTCTTCACCTAGTTCGATCATGTAGTGCATGCGTGATCTCCAACCTACAACTCTTTCCAACATCTCCATTGCAGTTGGATAGTGACCATATGCGGTTGCGATAACAGCGACCATCAATGTTGCTTGGTCTATCCCGGCTTTGGAAGCCTTGTTGAAAAATCTGAGCGAATTTTCAACGTCGTGGTCTATAGCTATTGTCCTCATCCCGTGCAGGTATAATGCATGAGGATTGTCTGATGAGAGAGCCAAATTGAAGAAGTAAGGATATCGTTGGAGCAAAGTTGTATCATCAACGAAGTCTGATAGGTTTAGTGCTTGCATTACAAATGGTTCCTTTAATGCTGCGTTTAGCTGTTTTGACGCACATGCTGCACGACATGCGTCCTTAGCAGAAACTCGTCCCACTCTCTGAAGAATCGGCCCGAGTAGGTCTCTTATTTCGTGGAGTCCATCATTTGTTTCCATTTTACGCTGAAACATAGAGAGTATAGAGAAGCGTATAAAGTCAGAACTGCAGATAAAGTAAAATTTCCATCAATGAACCAAGTATATCTACCATAACAGATTAAAAATGGTCGTATA